CTGAGCAGTATAGAGTCCCTGTTACTATACTGGGGCATTAGGACCCACACAGACCACAGGTTGGGCGCCCCCTGCTGGCCTTACTAACACCACTTCCGGCAACAACCTAGCTTTCCCATGTGGTCTCCCATCCAGGTACTGACCGGGCGCAGCCCTGCTTAGCTTCAGTGGGCGACCATGTGAGAGTTGCAGAGAGCTAGCTGCTGGCTAAAATCTAAGAACATGGTAAAAATCAGGCTGCCATAATGGCTTTTTTTTTTTTTTGGATTGCTTTTAAAAACACTGCAGTTGGGTTTACAGGAGTGGTGAGGCAGGTCAATCTTTGCTTTTTAAAACACTATTGGTGAGAACAAAACACCTTTGGCGAGAACAGCAGGTGTGAATGGCACTCTCGAGAGAAATGTTAGATTTCAAAAAGCATACACAACGACCTCTGGGTGATTAGTGAAAGCAAAAAACGCTCCTGGAACGTATTTGGTGCTCTTCAGAAATGTATATAGGGTACATAATAATGAGCCTGGGTTAAAAAGATGGTACTAATGTACACCTTTTTAATGTGTAAGATGTTCTTTTAGGGGCCGTTGCTCCAGTGACCTCAGTGTATTGTTACTTGTTTTTATTACGATGACTTAAATTTTTATTCAGAACAGAGATGTACAGACTATTTTGCCTCTTTGAATTACTACTAACACTTTCCCAGTAATGTCATGTGTGTTGTTAAAATGTCAAGTAAACGCTTATCAGCAAGCATTGTGTAGCCTGACAAGAATTCAATTCAAATAGCATAATCTGACACAGTGACATCTTTAACACAAAAGTATTTTTGTGTGAATGGTCACAAAATGCTATTTTATTGACAGAAATATATACTTTGCGCCTTGGCAAGCACATATTGTGATTATTCTCTTAATGAGTTATGGCTGTGTTTTTTGAGCATAAGTTGCATTACAGTTTTTTTTCATTTGGTTTGGCTCATATCTTGAAACAGAAATTACATTCTGAAAATTCTATGATCATTTGGCGAAACAGTGTTACAGTTTAACACAACACTATAGCTCGCTTGCAAAAGCTCATATCTCTCCAAAAACAGTTCACTCATGCATCAAATATAAATTATTTTCCTATTTAAAAAGTCAGTGCCACAAAAGTGGCAAATATCCTTCTTAATTCTTTTCATTTCTTGAAACAGACCGGACATTCTCAACACTCTTGGTGCTTTTGCCAAAATAATGTGGATTGTTCGGCACAACACCGTGGTTCACCTGCAACAGCTCATACCTTTCCCAAAACAGTTGACTCATGGGTCAAAACTAAATTTTCTTCTCATTTAAACAGTCAGTGCAGCCAAAATGCTTCGTCCCTTTAGCATTGTGTAAGCACTGCAAGTCAAAATGTTTAGTTGTTTTGTCATTATGGCAAAGGACCACTAAAATATCCCTCACAGTCTTAGCCCTGTCCTTCACTGACAATGGTTACTGTACTGTTTATGTCTAGCTAACAGAATACAATTGTGTATAAAACTGAAAAAAAGAAATAGGATTTTAGAGTAAGAGTAGCCTTCAAGGTTTGACGTCGCACATTGCACTCATACTGCCAAGGAAATGGTAACTTCTTTTTTTATTGTAATGATCAACGACATACAAAGTAATTTTCATATATCAGAGCAAAAAGAAACTGTACACATCATAATAAACTGTAATATAAACACAAACAAAAAGTGCTATAAATAAAGCTGGAGTTTCATAACAGTTCTTCACTGCCTGCCGTCCTCACCCTGCAGACTATCCACATGCTGCACCTGTGTGGCCACAGATTCTCATCCACTTCACAGTGTATATTCTCCCTTGCAATGCAACGAGAAAAGAAACAGCGCGTATGTCGTAACCATCCACTACAATGATCAAATGTTCCAAGGATTCGCCTACAGTATGGTATCCAGGGCGGTATGGTGTTGACTAGTTTTGACAATTGAACAGACTATTGTGCATGTAATGACATATCCAATGAAATGAAGCTGACACATTTTGGAAAGAACAACCATTAGACTGAGAATCAGTTTAGATCAACAAGATTTATTCACTTGGAAATTGTGCTAAATGTAGACTATCTGTACTTAATCATTTGCAAAGATGTACTTAGACATTTGCAATTTGATGAAATGAATGAGAAATTCAATTCTGTTGTGAACAATTGCCAGGTGGTTTGGAGGTTTGTCCATGTTGTGTAATTTCTGTTTCAAGAAATGAGCCAAACCAATGGAGAAAAACTGTAAACCAATCAGAGTCTCATCTCCATTCCCTTCAAGAGTCAGTTGCATTGCACCATGGTGCATTAGCTATTTACATGGTGGACTTTGTAAGAGGAAAAACTGAACACTTCACTTGTGAGAAAACAAGTTAGACATACCATTTGCAACACAAGGATTAAGAATAAGCCTCCTCCATTAAGCCTTTTTACTTTCTCTTTCTCTTTAATTTTACTCTTTACTTACAGTTTTTCTCATTGGCTTTGGTGCATTTCTCACGACACTATTTACATTTGCACAACAGTTCATGCATTTCTCACACCAATTAGTACAAACTGCTAAACCTTAATAACCTGCAAAAGTGTGTTATTTGCTCAAAATCGATAGCTTATTACTCAAAAGCAAGTATTGATGTCAATGAAAGTGTCAGTGTCATCAGGATGAAAAGTCCTGACACCATTGTTTAACGAGATAGTCAAATGGCTTAGTCATGTTTTCATTATGACAGTTTACTATGTGAGTTTTTTTTCCCAATGCAAATAAGTCAGACTTTGGTGACACTTCCTGAAAATGCTTAAGACAGCACTAGATTATTTGCACAGCCATTTGAAAACTACAGTAAAGTTAGACATCACTGCATAGTGAGGTATCTGAGTACAAGACACCGAATATGTATGTTTCGCATTTTTACTGCATTTGCTCTTAGCAATTCTAATTTATTCAAAAAAAAAAAAACAAAAAAAACACTAGGTATTACACTGGTTAGAGCTGTGCAGAACTGTAAACAATATTGCAGTACATATTGAACTAAACCGACAACATACATAGGTCTGTAAATCATTCATGAAATTGTTCATTTTAAAAGACATTTTCAGGAATTTTTAAATTTTTTTCACAAAAATTACATTTTTTTATCAAATTAGCTTGACAGATTTTGACAACTAGTTCAACATTTTTGCATGTAATGACTCAAGTAATAAAATGAGGACTATTTGTTTTATATGGAATGACTATTCAGCATTCAAGTTGATTCATGTCCAACAGCATTTGCAATTTGTTGGAAGGAATGAGAAACTGCTACTTTATTATGCACAATTAACTAATTGTTTTAATAAATGCATTAACTGTTGTGCAAATGTAAATAGTGTAGTTAGAAATGCACCAAAGTGACAGAGAAAAACTGTAATAACATTATGCAAAAGCAAATTGTCATGAATAAACTGAAAAAAAAGGCATGGAGCAAGTGTTTTTTATATTATAATTTCATGCATTCATTTTCTTTTCAGCTTAGTTCCTTTATTAATCTGGGGTCGCCACAGCGAAATGGACTTATCCAGCACATGTTTTACTCAGCAGATGCCCTTCCAACTGCAACCCATCACTGGGAACACCCATACACTCTCATTCACACACATACACTATGGACAACTTTAGCTTACCCAATTTACCTGTACCACATGTCTTAGGACTGTGGGGAAAACCGGAGCACCTGGAAGAAACCCAGGCGAATGCAGGGAGAACATGCAAACTCCACACAGAGATGCCAACTAAACCAGCCGAGGCTTGAACCAGTGACCTTATTGCTGTGAGGCAGCAGCACTACCTACTGCGCCACCACGTCACATATTATAATTTAATAATATAATAATAATTTTATTTTAATAATAAAAACATTTTATTCCTTTAATTTTTTTATGTAAAAATATTTGTGTATTGCTGTACATCCTGTGTGTATTAAGCAATGTGTACGTGTTTTGGACCTGCATAGGCGCATCCCTGCGCTGGACTTTAGACTAGCTTTCAATTGGTCAATGGTGCAGTCTATTTCTGTTCCTCAAAATAGCAACGCGCCAACAATACTCCTTAACACTTCCTCTTTTTAGACCAAAACACAAAGTGGCGCAAATGGTTTTGTTATTTAAACATCGTGGTGCAAAACATGAAAAATAGCGTTGCACTGGTCTGAAAATAGCATCAAATCTCGCCAAACATCTTGCGGCCTATTGCAACCGGGTGTATGATACGGCCCTTTGTGTTTATACACTCTGTTTGTATTGTCCATAAGTAAGTGGTTTCAAAAGCATCTAAGTGAGTGCATCAAAGTATCTGAGATTTCTTAAATCTAATAGATACCAAAGTGTCTGCTAAATTAACAAATATATGTAGTTTTTGATTTTCACAAGAATATCTTTGTAAAAGTAAACACTGTTAAAAAAAATATATTAATTAGTTTGTAATTTATTATTGTAATTTAGAATGTTAGTTTGGTTTGTATTTAAAGATTTGAATTGACTCGCGGGACCTTGAGCTCTGCTCTGAAATCTTTTCAAGTATAATTATTAATTATATTTTTTAATTGTTTATACATTTTCAAGGGTGGTGCGTGAAAAATCAAAGCACAAAAAATTAATTATGAGATCAAAATACCTTATTGCAATTTTGTATATAAATAAAAAACACTCATGAATCGTGAGGTATGGTTAACATATAATTAAGTGAAAAACTATATTTGTTGGGCACACAACCTAACTGTTATGACAACAAGTTCATTGAAATACTGATTAAAAGTGTTTTGGTAGATAGTCTCCATTCCAATTGAATGTGTAATTAACCCGCTGTGCCAAGCTGAAAGTTTCTATAGAGAAAACTTTTAATAAAATGGACCTAAATGTTGAGAAATGTATCCTAGCAACATGTTAAAAGTACTCTCATGCCATCAACCGTGCCTTGAATGTTACCCATTCTGTTTCTGCAGCAAAAGAGATAGACAGCAGGCCTAAAGCATACATTTCAGTGCAGCAGTCCAAGGCTAAAGAGTTCCTGTCTGGACTTCACAGGACTAAGAGAAACGTGTGGGACCGAAGTCGACCCGACGTCCAGCAGTGGATCCAGCAATTCATGTACATGGGCTATGATGAGGCTGTGAGTAAAACTATATTCTGACTTAAATTTTTATCTGACCTCCAAATGTCTAGCAATTATCAGCAATGTCAATTAAAGCTGAGCATTGGTGAAGTATAATGAAGACAGGATGATGTTTTGGCTCAGTTAAAGCTTTGAAAATGCTACTGTGTGATTAGTGCAGACTATTGATGCTTACAATAACACTGGCTCAACAGACACCTGTGTTCTGCTGGACACAGCTGCCCATCTATTGATGACTTCCCTCTGTGAAAAGGCCTGTTCACACTGTGATGAATGTTTGGTGTGAAAATTTGATGTGAACATCTTTTTTTATTATGTGAATGAATGAATGTTATTATGTCCAGACAGAGCTGTGTCCCATTTTGAAGGGTCCTCCAGGATAGCATTTGGTTAGTAGCATAGTAGTGTCCTGTTTATTTAGAACAGTATATTGAACAGAGGATATTGGACTGAGTTATTAGGCAAAATGTGGTAGAGGCTCAGGAAGATTCTGTATCCACATCAGGACACAGTGTGTGCTGTATCCACCACACTGTCTCCTATTGTGGTCAGATATGTGTCTTTTACTCATAGATTTATCTTTAGGTAATTGATATTTTGCATCGATTATGTAGTTGTCATGTGACATGTTTACTATACTAATAAGCAGAGCCAGAAATAATCTATGGACTTTCTTGGTTTGTTGCAACCCAGGCTCATTCAAAAAATGTAGTGCTGTATACATTTCTGGAGAGCCCCAAATACATCCCAGGAGGTGCAATTGTTTTTGCTGTTTTTGTTTTTGTGAATCTCCCTGAGGCTGCTGTGTATGCTTTTTAAGATCTCAAATTTCTCCCACGAGTGTCATTCGTGCATGCTGTTCTTGCGTAAATCCACCAGAGGCTGCTGTTGACTGACTGACTGGCCGATCGACTGACCCACCCTCCTCCTTTCCTAAATCCAACCAATAGTGTTTTTAAAAGCACCGATTGACCCGCCCAACCACTTACCCTAAACCCAACCAACAGTTTTAAAAAGCAATCAAGAAAAGGAAAAGCACTCGCCAGATTGTATCACATTTTCAGATTTTACCACATTCTCATCCTGTTATTTACTTGCTTTTGACTTTTTAGAATCTGTTTTTGTCTTACCTGCTTTCTGGAACCGTTCTTCGAACTTGAGTTCACTCGAACCTCATCGTCGTGTTCAACTTCTCTCTAGAGCTGTAATTCGGGCCATAAAAGTTAGGCCTGATAGAGTCAGAGCCCAACAGAATTTAGCCCGAGCCCGACAGTACATTTTGATTGACAGCTTTTTAAAAGCCCAAAGTCTTTATAGCCCAACATTATTCAAATGAATGATTCATTTATACGTTTTTTAACATTATTTGTTTAAAACAAGCATAGGCTATTCACCTTATTCTCCGCCGACGAGCAGGAAAATAATTTTGCTGCCATTTGAAACTTTTTGGCTTGAGACTTCCGGTCTCATTCACTTCCATTCATTTTTTGACGTTAAAAACTGCTTGTTACGCTGCTTGATGTTGCAATTTGATATTTTCTTATTATATTATTCTACTTGGTCTGTATAGTCATGCAAACAATTGTTTGTAGAGCAAGTAGTTTGACCGTTTTCTGCCTTTTATTATTCCTAGTCATTTCTCCCATAGGCAACCGAATTGGAAGTTCTAAGACAATCGCGAAAACAGGCGCACTTCCATATTTTAGAATAAGATCAATAGGCCACATGGAAGTTGGAACAAAATCTCTGTAAAATCATAACATCTCAGCACTCTAAATCAGCCTAGGTGCATACATTTAGCCTTTAAATTGGCCAATACACTAATAGAAATGAGTGTTTTTTAACCAATTAAATTTAAATAAATTATATGTTATGACGGGTATTTGGCAATAATGAAATTAAGATAAAGGCTCTGCAGGATTTGTTTCACCTTCTCTTCACAATCTGGCATTAGGGCGACCGTAAAGCTGAATAACAAAATAATAATGCCAACATTAGCATAGATACTCTGTCAACATTATGATTTTATGGTTTTATTAATATTTAGTTATAATTTGAAAATCCTTTACTCACCAAGATTAGGTTTTGTAAATGTGTTTTTGTGGAGAAACATTACTGAATCCACTGTAAATAACTTTAGCACAGTTCTGTGCTCACTGAGCAGCACTGAACACCCTTTCACTGCTGCTGCTACTGGCCGGGATGCATATTTTGGGTAGGATTGTTTGTTAATTTTCTATCAGTCTAGAACATCCATTTCATTTTCCATGTCATCGGTTTCAATGTAGCGAGTGACCTGGTCATCTTCACTGTTAGCGTGTTGTACATTGCCGTTTCGCACTCTACCGCAATACGCAGTGTATGCGTGACCGCCGGAATACCTTGACGGCTAGAATGCCTGTTCTTTTGTAACTGGCAGATAGCCTGACTGTTCTTTTCTGTCCCGTCGGGTTCAGGCAAAGACCTTCAGCTTTACTCCTCTCTACATTTTAAGTTTGTTGACGTACATGGTGAGCTACTGGACAAACTGGTTACAGCGGGGAAGATGCCCATACAGAGATAATCAGTTTGCTGGTAATCGTGAAAAAGAATGACGTCATACCCCCCCTTGTGTTGAGCTTGTGTTGGTTATTTCAATGAATGAATGAATGAATAAATGAATCTATGGATTTATGTTGACTTTTTTTAAGAGAATAGCTCAAATAACTTCTTAAATTATATTTTAAGGTTTACAGTGCAAATGCACTTAGAATCACTTGTTTGTAAACAAAGCTACGGTAGGCCTTTCATAAAATCATATATTCACTAAAAGACAGAAAATTATTTACAAATTGTATTTTACACACATCACTTATGCCGAGTTCAGACTGCATGATTTTCAAAGTAATCGCGTCACAGATGTTTTCACACAGCATGACTATCTGGGCTAGCGTTTCGTCACTGCTTTGTTTACGCTGCAAGATTGATCTGTGACAAGGACCTTCACATTGCATGACTTTACTATAGGAAGAATCGCCGACAAGTTTGTCCAAACTACGTCTCACAGCCAAAAACACGTAGTATGTCTTTTGTTATTAACTACATAATGAGAAAGAAGCCTTTAATGGGGTAGAAAATGTCCATATTTGCTCACCTAGGTTTAAAGGGAATTAGCCATTTCTCCTTAACGTTGATAATAAACTAATTTCTTTATGTATGAAACGTCAAACAGACACGGTTGCTCCTGAGTCCTGTCAAACCTGCACTAGTTTTTCCTCCATTTCGTGGGTCCAAATAAACCGAAAAAGATCGCTTTTAACTTCTCCCCCAGCCTCCCGCTAGCCTGCAGCAGGTATACACACACGCACACACACGTGAAAGCTGCTCTCTCATTGGCTGTAGGCGATCGCCGATGTTATTTTCAGTCAAAACTCAATTCACACGGTATGATTTGAATCGCCGACAGCTCCAGATATTTAGCATGCCAAATATCTCGCTGGCATCGGCGACTCATCGGCGATTCTCTCAGATCGCGTCTTTGATAGTTTATACTGTGTGATTGTCACTCACGTGCACGAGCAGCGATTTGCCTGTGATTTCAGGCATTTGTCAGCGATTTCTCAAAACCTGTCGGCGAGCCAAAATGGGTGCTAAAATCACGCAGTCTGAACTAGGCATTAAATATCTAAATGTGCATATTACTCAATAATAAAACTGAAATAAACATAAAATAATGACTATACAGCAGGAAAATAAGCAGGAAAAATAAGCATTGAACACGTCATGTTTTTTCCTGGTAATGATAACTTCCAAAGTGTCATAAAATTGAACCAGATTTTGGTAAAAACCCAAACAATGCAACATGAAAAAATAAATAAATAAAAAATAAATCTGATAAATGAGTTATGTGTAATAACAATGAAATGACCCAAGGAGAAAGTTCTGAACTGCTGAAATGTATTTAATACTTAATCAGGGTTTCTGCAGGTTTCTTCAATTCAAGACTTTTAAGGCACTTTTAAGACCACCATGAATGAAATTTTAGACTTATGTATGACTAAACACTAAGGATTTTTTCTAATGGCCTGGTTATTTCTGCAAATAGTTTTTGTGTTAATGGAAGATCATGTAAAGGGATGAAGAATTTGCTGAATAGCTGTTGTGAATTGTATCTCTTTGTGTTTCTCATTGAGTTTTTTACAGACTTCAACAGTGTAAATATCTAGATAGTTCTGTGGGTCTCCTCTATTAAATATGATCTTTAATTTCTATTTTTCATTGGATTCAAGTCAGGTGATTGGTTGGGCCATACTACAGCTTGATTTTCTTTCTCTGGAAGTATTTATGAGATCCCTTTGCTGTGTTTTGGGTCACTGTCTTGCTGTAATGTCCGCCCTGGATTCATCATCATCATCATCCTGCTAATGTAGATGTTGGACTAAAGCAGCTTATATTAGTTTACATTGAAGAAGGGCAGAGGGTTGCTTAGTGACTACTGAGAGATTTCAGCTGCTGCCTGTCAGCTTCTTTCACTGCCTTTCTACACCTTCCTTTCTCATGTGTTCAATACTTTTTTTTCTTAATTTTTTTCCTTTTTTTTCCTCTAAACTTCATTTGTTAACTAATTAGATTTATATCTAGTGAAAATTTTAAGTCAACAGCACATTTAGAAATGTGATTTCTCAGAAAAATATCAACGTGTTCAATGCTTATTTTCCTCGCTGGATCACTGTCAGCCTAAACTTAACATAAACACAAACTTATCCCTTAATTCTGATTGGAATGTTGTTCCAGGATCAACATAGATGCTGTTCCTGGATCAACATAGATGTTGATCCAGGAACATGTCGTAACCTTCTGGGTGTTTCTGTCAGTACAGCCTACTTATAAGCTGTGGTCTGCAGTCAGGTTTTAAAGATACAGTAAAACTAACACTTGGTATATTGTGAGTACTTAGACCATAAAGGCTAAAATAAATTTCAGTTAAGGGCTCGATTCCCTAAATAACACGAGTCTTA